ACATGTCTGACTGTGCTTTGAATACTTGGATAGTTTCATTTGCAAAGTCGACACGTTGTTTGGTGTCTTTTTTTTTTCCAGCCTTTGAAGAGAAGGCTCATTTCCCCCATAATAAATGTACGCTGTTAGAGAATACAAAAAATGTGAAAATTGATTGATTGAACATACACGCACATTCACAATGATTATCCTCCAAATGTCAAAGCATGAACTATGATTATTTACTGTTGCAGCATTTTCAAAAGACGTGAACACAAAATAATAGTGGAATGCAAATTACTTACATTGTCTTACATTTTACCGTAGTTTTCTTCCTTTTGTGATGCAGAGACTGTACAACGTTTTGGAACGAACAATCTCCTCTCAGAGACAGTACGGAGAGTAAAAGCTGTAAAAAAAAAATCTTGTTTCATCAGAAGCTTTTGCATAATTCCTGCACATCTGCCCCGATTGCTGTTTGTCGTTGTCCTCTTGCTTGTCACTTTCCTTTTTTGTCAAACTTGCCTCGTTCTCAATTCTGCTGTCCCTTCTCTGGTCCAATGGGGGGTTTTTTTGTCTTGTTTTTTTTGCCTGTGTCTCTTTCTGGGACAATCCCTCCCTCAGTCTTTGACACTCTCTACTGTGCTGTCAGTCTCCTTCAGGACTTTTTTTTTCATCCTACTTCCCTCGTTCCCATCTCAGCCTCTCTCTGATGCCTGAAAAGCATAATAAAACATCTATGCTACCAAACTTCAGATCTCAGGGAGGGGGTTTTATCCTTTGACCTTTCATTATTCATGTTGCCATGCCACATACTCAATCCTCATCCTCATATATATATATATATATATATATATATTGTTTTGATTTTTTTTATTTCATGTAATCTCAATTGTTAATTTGTGAAACTACTTGTGAGAGTTCTATATCACTGGCTTTCAGAACTTCTTTGTTTCACAATGCTCCATGTTATGCTGTAGGCTATAAATAAGGGGACAGATTGCTGGGTAGAAACTGCCTCTTACAAAGGAAGATGTCCAGTTTGTCCAGTTCATTCATGTGCAGCTATTCATTGTGCATATCGAAACGTAAATGATCATTCGCAACCCAGTGATTAGTGAGTGCAGCTGGATCCCACCCATGCATCTCCCGTTAGCATCCCAGAAGTAATTAACGATGTAAAGTGAGAAGTAGAATCTGTTATTTGTACATCAGGCAGTGAATTGAACTATAGGAGGAGATTGGGGATAGTTTTCAGAGGGCAAAACCGTACCTGATTTAACAAAAAGACTTGGAGTAACATTTTTTTTCTTCACTGGGAGGGTGTCACATCTCTTCTATCTGCCCAGCTGCCCCCGGGCTGCTCCGGCCAAGATAAGCTCGGTAATAGGCTGCTCCTCTGTCAATTGTGGAGCGTGGGCAGGAGCAGATAAGGAGTGTCTGAAAAGCTAAGTGCGAGGAACATTCTTTATCCAACTCACTGCGCTGAGGCTTCCCTCACTCAGCCTGCAGGCAGATCTGCTACAGCACTAAACGGTGGCATAAACGCATATAGCAGTGCAAACAATATGTCTTTTCAGCCTTTTCTTATTGTGCAAAGCCGAGCCGACAAACAAACAAGGCTCCACATGAAGACAGGAAGGTCTTATCTGTGTCATGATGAGCTGCTCTTAATAGATTGGCATTTACTTAAGCCTGGGCAGCTACAGCATCAATCATTTGGGGATTCAGTTGTACTCATTTCCCACCTGAACAAGACAGGAAGCCTCAATAAATTCCTCTCACATACACTAAAGCCTATGTGAGAGAAGTTTTTGTCCATGGAGTTAATAACTCCTTGGAGTTTTTTTTATTTTTTATCCAAGGAGTTATTCTTGAACAGAACTGAAAAAGAAAATGTTCCTGTTTGGGCATAAAAGGGTACGTACAATGTCACCATGTCTCAATACAATGCGGCAAGACCTTTTGAAGTGGCCATCCTGCAGTAAGAATCCGTCTGGTTCTGGTAAATCTGTTAGATTTTTATAACATCAGTGGAAGAACAGATCAGATTTACACAATGTGCCAGAGGTCTAAAGAATAGTTGAATTTATCAGAGCAACTAAGCAGAACCGTAGCTGTAACTGAACAATTTATTTCATATTAAGGTCCAGAATGTTGGACTTTTGGACTTTGGAATTTGACTTTTTCAGTTTTTCTTTTATTTCTTTCTATTATATAAGTGTCTCCAAACATTTGCTCAGTTTCATTGATTTAGTTCATTATGACAAGACCAGTGTCTTTTTAAATATGTGCGTAAAAAGAAAAAAATCCTCATCCGACACATTTCACTGCCGCTTTCTTCATTTTTCTTTTCTCTTCTTATTGTCTTTCTTTCCCTTATTAAAAACTTTTGAAAGTTCTGTTTCATTCCAAGATTCCAAATTAAAGTTGAATTTTTTTTTGTTATGTTGCCTAACTTTGGCTCTTAAGGTGGTCAACTCTAAGAAAGGCAATTCCACTTATAATAGCTTATGCTTGGGAAAGAAAAAAAGGATTAAAAGACAACATATAGAGGGTTAAAAAAAACATAAACCTCTGGTAGTTGGTGAGAAAAAAGGCAAAGGCATTGTGTTGTCTCTGCTTTGGAATAGATCTCAGAATTAACTTTAAATCTCTTTACAAAGATGATTGTGATAAAAAAAGATTGATAATGCAATATGAGCCACAGAATGATTTAGATTTAGATACGATATAGAAGTTTTTTTTAATCAAAATTTAATTACACCTTGAAATTCAGAAAATGGAGCCGCACAGGTAAGAGTTGATGGATCGTCTATTCATACAACAACGTCACACGGGGTTCCACTTAAGATGGTTCCCATTCTGAGTTAGGAGCTTAGAAATTACCATACAAATTGAGGTCTATGAACTATCAGCTGCTCTCATTTGAACATGTAAAGTCTATTATGTCAGGTTTCAAAGTATCTGTCAATTTAACAAAAATAACTATTCATTGTTTTACACTACCATCAAGCTATTGTCCTATATTGATAGCTACATCTGTAATTTAGGTTACGTTAGGCTAAACCTCCCAACTATCTGGAGACATTATTTAAAGAGTATGGCACAAAGGTATTTTCTTGGGAAATCCCTGCAGTTAAAATACACATACAGAGAAAAAATGGCATTCCTGGGATGAATCGTACTTGTATAGGTTCAGATTAGGTCAAATTAGGGTTGTGGATCATGAGACCATAATGATTAATTATTAGTCAATGCAATAAGAAAAGCGGTAGAATCTTGCATGAGCGAAGAAGACTCTGCTTTCTACTCATACCTTTGGTTTGCCAAGACCTAGAAAAAGGGCTGCTGGTTCAGTTGCCTTTGAAATAACCTCATCACTTTGAAATACATACAGAAAACACAAATATTGTTACCTGTAATCTATCAAATCTGGTGAAAGACTCTACCATTTTTATCATATATTCTCTTGTCCAGCTAACCAAAAAATTAAGGGAGTTTTGTCAAAGTTCCAATTCTAAACAAAAAACCACACACACGCACCCTGGGACAATTTGGAATGTATAATCAACAGGCATGTTTTTGGACAGTGGGAGGAAGCTGTAGAACCCAGAGAGAACCCACGCAGACACCGGGAGAACATGCAAACTCAACACAGAAAGGTCCCGGTTCCCCCAGGGACTCCAACCGGGAACCCTCTTGCTGTGTGGTGAGGGTGCTAACCAAACCTATCTACCGCCCCCCTCTACCGCACCATATCTGTCTAATCAGGGAGAAAAATGTAAATGAAAAATGAAAATGTGTACAGGAGAGAAGAAGCTGGTTGCTTTTGGCTCTCTCAGGGAAAAGAAAATTATCTTGCTTATCTTTCCCAGAGATACAACATTTTTATCAGATGTAAAAGGAAAATGGAAGTTTCACACAGGTTAACAGAGTATAGAGGTTCCGCATCACACGGGTCACAGATGACTCTGGGAATCGTGAATATTTAGTTTTGATATGCATTGTTTTTTTAAGAGACAAAAAATCATGGCTCTGTTTGTTTCTTTCTTTTCTGCATGCAGTAGCCTTTTTTGCCTCTTCATGAGCCTTCCAAGATCCGCTGCAGCGCAGCAGAGCACGGTGCAGGCTTTGCAGTGAGGATGCTGCAGTCCTAATGCTGCATGGTGCTTATGAAGCTATGACTAAAGATAGCACAGTGGGCATGGGGGGAAAAAAACAACTTTTGTTTTCTTAATCTCTTACTTCCTTGAGATCCTTTGTCGTCAATTATCCAAGTTACCATATAACCATGAAACTCATATTTAATACTTGTCAGAAAATGAACATATATTCCTACTCTGTGATCAAACTGTCAACTGACGCCTTATAATGATATTCAATCATGATTCACATGACGGGAAACACACTGGTGTGGGTTTTCCTCACAAAAGCCTGATGCCATAGAAGTGCATGCTTGCCTGGCTTTAGCAGCTGTTATTCTTTCTGTGGCACTTGGCTTGAGCATGTTCCCAGAGTTGGGGAAAAAAACAGACCTCTTCTATAAGTGGTCCTTGTGGAGGAGGTCTAGTACCGCAGCATTTGGAAACAGAGCCACAGCTTATCTTACACCATTAAAAACAAACACCCTGACCAAGTATGTTGGCTCTACACAGGAACTGTTTCTAGTTCAAACTGCAATATAGTATGCTGAGTGAAAACAGTTGGCTATAAACCGTGTAACTGTACTGCCAAGAGCAACACAAACTAATTAAAACAATTAGAGATGCTGCACATTTGTGGTATAAATTTATACATAAATGGTTGTGTGTATAACAGAAAAAAATAATCCGTTTTTTTTATATCCTTTGGATACAAAATAAATAACCAGGCGCTTGAATCATGAGAAAGCAGAGCAGAAGTGTGATTTTTATATCCTAATGATAGCTGAAAGTTAACTATGGCAAGGCTCATTGAGATAACACCTACTAACCAACATTGCCTCCGCGTGGCCGTACAGAGTACTGCAGTCACAGAAAAAGAAGGAACCATTGATGTTTCCTGTGTTTCCTATCGGAATGTTATCCGAGACGAGCAAGTGGTGTTCAAGTGGCCTCTCCGAACTGTTTCACCCCTCTCCTCCCTCTTCAAGTAATTTCTGAATTTTTAACTAGACCTTAAAACATAGTTATTGCAAAAGTGTTTCTATGACAGCATGTACAATACCGAATACTGGCTAAATTGAATGTTAATTTATTGTTAACGTTGTAACATTGATTTCAGTCATCCGTCGGCTGTGCATGTACCTTAAAATGTGTGGCTAAGGTTCATATTCTTTGTCTGAATTGACTTTTTCCCCCGCCTCTTCAAAGACAAACAAGATGAATAAAGAGGCAAGAGTGAAAGCGTCAATAAACCAGAAGCTGACAGAGTTGGGAGAAAGAGAGAGGTGAGTTTCAGCATTTACATTGTTAAACCGTAGCTCAGGTCTGTTAGCATTCAGTGCCCACATATTTTCTTCTATTGGCAGCAAACAATATTTTTCGTCGTTTAAAAAAAAAAACATTTTAGCTTTAAATAGACACAAAATTTTGAAAGACAAAAAAAGTGTCTATACACATATATTATATGCATAGCTGTTTTCCATTCGTACAAACTCCCAGCAAGTTAGCCTACTTTGTTAGCAATTAAGTTAACAACAGAGCAAATGCAGCAAATGTTTAACCTACATTAGCACAGGCTGCTAAAAACTTAAAATAAGTAAAATGCGTTATCTAATGGAAACAATGTGTGTCTACGGTTAGCTTTCTTTTTAACATAAAATATTAGAGAAAGGACCCTCTAAAGTAACTCGCCATAGGGTTGAAACTTAAACCGCTGCCACATGATGTAGAGCCCATTCGTCCAGTGTGAAGAAACGTAGCAGTTATCTTGGGACCAGATCATCTCAGATGCACCAAAAGACACAAGGGATTATGATTAGGCAAAGGGTCCATCAGTGTTGTGGATTACAAACATGGGAACGATGCCACCAATTGAGGGCTGTATTGGAGAGAATGGAGAGATATTTATGGACAGTAAGCTGGTGAAAGAGCAATGGTAAACCCAGTGTTTGCTGTATGAAGATTATTTCTATCCAAAATAAAGTTTACACTGAATGTCCGAGTTAGATATTTTGCTTTTATTCTTTAGTTTTAGTATATTCAATACCCCTTCCGGACATTTGCCTTGTTATTGTGTAAGAGCTCTGCTGCTTTTCATATACGCTATTGATCAGGTCTGCTCTCTTCCCATGTGTTTCTCCTCTCTTTTGCAGACTAAAAGAGTTACTGAGAGCTAAACTCACTGAGTGTGGATGGAAAGACCAAATGAAGGCTCACTGTAAAGGTAAAAGCTGAACTATAACACAGAGAACAACACCTGATGGGAGAAGCTATGTGTGTGTTTCCTACATCTACGTTCTTTTTCGGTCTTAGATTTGATGATTTTTTTATATATTTCTGTTTTCACGCATTTTGTGATGCTCCTTTGTGTATTTGCAGATGTCATCAAAGAAAAAGGGTTGGAGCATGTTACGGTGGAGGATCTTGTTGTGGAGATCACTCCTAAAGGACGAGGTATCTGCATGAATGTGTACACAACCCACCTCTGTTAAGATCACCAAGCCTCACAAATGACATCTTCAGCGTCTTTTACCATATTGATTGATGACCATGAACCAAACTAGCTTTCGATGCAGGCCATTTGTCTGAGCGTTGTTTCCTTTTGACGTATACACACAGGTGATCTGAAGACAGAAGTTCTGACTGTATCTTTTTTCTCTTGCAGCATCTGTGCCAGACAGCGTCAAGAAAGAGCTTCTACAGAGAATAAGAGCCTTCTTGGCTCAGCATGCCACATGATTTAAGCTTTTCAGAGCTCTTGCCAAATCTATTGTGTACCTCTTTTTTTCATATAGATTTACTTGAATTTAAAGCAGGTCTTTTTCATTATCTTTCATTTTCAGCGACCCACAGTTCTGTCACACACTCTGCTGTTCAGTTGCATGTTTTTATTTCTCTGTTCACTTGAAATGATTAAATATTTTTAAATCTATTTGCTGGTCCTGTTACATGAGATATGCACAGACCCATAAGCGTAAAGACACAGGAGCCTTTTTGTCCATACGGTTGATAGATAAAGACAGAGCATGTGTAGTGGGGTACATCAAACTACTGGACAGAGGCTGCCAAAGTTCTTGTCAAAGTAATCCATCCATCCAACAGAAGTTGTTTTGGTTTTAACACAGTCTGTTATTCACTGCACCTTTAGCATTTTTGTAGATTGTTTATGGATGTTCATACTTCAAAGCTTTAAGGCATAAAAAATAGATCTCAAATCAGTGATGACAGGTCTTATTAAGGGAGTAATGCACCCCATGGCGTGGACCTTAACTTTCCTAAAGCACTGTGGGATAACTTCGACAGAGAGTGGCAGCCAACATTTGCACTCTGAAATGTTTTTCAAGGAGCCTGGAAAACCATTCCTGAAGGCTGCTTCAAGAAAATGCAGCTTTTCAAACGAGGATTAGGGTTATGTTTAACACCGGGTTGTCAAACCAAATATGGATTTTCAAGCTTTTCACAGAAAAATGAATAATTTAATATGTTAACACGAGTCCCAGTGACTTTGTGGCTTTGAATGAACACTTTGATCAACTGGACCGACAAGCCACTTCCTGCTTTACTTCCTCTAACATGAATGTTCTCTGCAGGGATGAAAAATCAGGCAAACATTACGACTCTGAAATCTGGCCCTCACTATGTATGAAGACAACAGTTCACAAGTGGCCTGGATATACAAGGAGGCATTAAACCTAAAGCCAGAAGTAGATGTTGTGTGATGTTGTGTGACTCGCGCCATTGGAACTACAGTACTTTGGGAATGTTTAGCTCCCAACCCAACCTCACAGGTCACTCTGGAGATCCAGTTGGTTCTGGATTGCGTTCGGTCATGACCCCAAAAGCAGCACGCCCCCTTTGCTTTAGCGCAGGAATGGGCAGAGAGAGGGACTGCTTTGGTCACCATTACAAGACAGAGAGTGTGTTTTCTTAGCCGAAGGACCTGCTGTGACATCAGCCCAGGTGACAACACGCTGATATACAGTTCTGTTGTGGAGGCCAAATGCAACACACTCCTCAAGCCCGGCGCACACACACTCCTTTAATGGCCTACATCAATCCCCATGTTATCAGCAGATCTGGGCCCCCGACCTAAAGGGGTTTCTGCACACTGCAGTGCACCGCAACCCGCCGCCGGATTGGGTTACCAGTGATGCAATATATTATCCTATAGATCTTTATTTACTTTCTCACTCTGTGTTCTCAGCTTTTCTCCATCACTCAGGACCTGCGCTGCCGAGAAGCCGTACAGTAACCAGATGACTCCGGCACGTCGTAAAAAATGTGCAAGCGAAAAGGGAAAAACGACTTGATGAATCCCACTCTCCTACGTATTGGCAAACTGTAGATGTGGCGGAAGAAGTCCAAATGTACCAGCTGCTGATCGCAAAGACGCATCCTGCACATTCTACTGATTCTTGCAACAAAACGTGAGAGAGTCAAAAAACACAAGTAGCTGTTGTCATGTTGATGGACCCATAATTGAGAGAACACATAGTTTTAATGCCTAAACCTGAGAGTTACTCAACTTGTAAAACCTGTAAAAAAATTAGATTAAGTATAAAAAGCACTGAACAGGGCTCAAGTCAAACTTGTGATCATGAGTCAGTTTTTACAAAGTCAGGTGTGACTGAAAATCAACCTATATTATAATATCTTGTTCTATCCTTTAGCTCTTAGAGTGAAGCTGCCGCTGAGTGAACCAACTTTTATCCAAGTCTGTTTTATAAAGTTCAGCTTTGGAGGCAGTCTAGGAGCAAAGAGGGAGAAAAGCAGAGCAAAAATGAAAAAAGATTAATCATTCATACTCATGAAATTCACTCATACTCTGTGTGGCACCTTATTCTGATTCCAATGGGCCTCTTATATAGATTGCTTTTCTTAGAGGAAAAAATTTGAACTTTAAGACATTCAGTAACTTATTTTCAGTTGAACTGATGTCCTCACATTTTATAAAGTGTGGTTTAACACAAACAGACTAAATCATTTTCTTATTTTTCCAACACGTAAAGTTACTGAGTGCGAACGGCCACATTTCATCGTTGCCAAAATAAACCAACAACAAAGTGGAAATGCACTCTTTATTCTACCAAAGTCCAAAAGAAGCTGTGTCTGAGGAGCCCTGAAGGACATTTAAAAGAATTTTTAAAAAATGGCTGTGTGTGTGTGTGTGTTAGCGTGCATGTAGGGAAGTGCGTAGAGATTTTATTTTTTTTTTCATCACCACTGGAATCATATCGTTGCAGCATGATAGCAGCTGTGTCAATAGGCAAAAGGAGCCAAAAGTGCGGTCCTGTACGAGTCCCAAAGGTGCTCTCACTAGTGAAACTGCCAACATCCAAAGATCATAAACACCCCCCCTTACTGTACAAACATGTGAAGAAAAGTCAGCCCGGGGTGGAAGCAGATGGCAGGAACAAACTCAATTTATGAACAAGTGATGGGAAATAATGACGATATTACCGCGTGGTGCCCTCTATAGGGCAACAGTGCACCTGTTTGGTGGGGGCAATCGAGATGAAGCATTTCCTATGAAACACTGTGTCACAACTCCTGATCCTATGACTCCAGGAAGTAAATCTCCCGGTGTTTTCAACGGCGTTTTTGCGTTATTTATATTTCACATAGCAGGACACAGCTTGGGGTTTTTTCGGTGTCTCGTAAATCCCACCCTATCTTTTTTGCAAGCTGGAAGGGGGGCGCGGGCCCTGTGTAAGCAGACAAAGGGTCGGAAAAGGAGGTTTCTTCCAAAAGCATGAAAAAGGAGCGGTCGTGTGCTACAAATTCTCCAACGGCCGGAGCGCAGTTGGTCCTCTTTACTGTCAACATGTGCGAATGCCATGCTCGATAAAACTCTCTTTGAATCCTCTCACTAGAATTTATGAGACGTGCAACATGGGGTTGCAGCTCTTTTGAAGCCTGCACACTTGCAGCTCTCCGAGCCGCTCGCGTTTCCAATTTTAAGAGAAGAAAAAAAAGCTTCGAAGGTTAGTCTGGCACGCGGCGTCCTGCCGCGTCGAGAGTTTTAAGTCCATTTGCATTCTGTTATGTCTCCTGGGACGGCTTTTTAAAGTCACTAATGAGGCTGAGGAGCAACTTTCTCGCTGTTATTCCTGGCATCCTTGCTCTAATCCCAGGGATACCACTCTCACACAACGTCCTCCACCGCCACTGCGCCACAACCCCCATTTTTTCCTTCTCGGTAGCCCAGTGCAAATAATAAATAAAAGGAAGTACATCATTCCTTTTTTTCGATCCGAGCGCCAAAAAGCAGGTCTGCCAAAGTTAACACGCAGCAATCTTAGGTAATGATCAGCAAATGTGGATTCGGTTTCATAGAGCATGACTTCACATAATTCTTGTTTAGATCACGTTGGCTGGCTGGGTCTCAACTGCGTTGCTGCTAGTATAGAAATCGTGCTTTCACACAGGAGGTGACACACACACACACACACACACAAATCACACACAAAATCTCTCTCATTGACTTCAGTTTAATATGTTGCTCTCCCCAATTCGATATGGTGCAATGCTGTGGCATGAATTAGCTACCAGTCATAAATTGGGGAATTTTAACAGAGGCTTTATGACATTCTCAGAGCCCGTTCACTCAGATTTTCCATTGCCTTTTACACACGTCGGTGGCAGAGACGCTGAACCTTTCGTCGTGGCTCAATCAATGAAAGTTATTTGCTCGGTTGTGATGAAAAAGAAATGAGCAAAAAAAAAGAAAAAAAAGAGTGCCGTTGGGGCTGTACCTACAGCACAGCCAGTGTGCGGCGGCAGAGCCGGGGGGTCTCCATGCAACAACGCAGAAAAGAAAAGAAAAAAAAAAAAAAAAGCGAAACACAATCCAGACATTGTTTACCCTGTTCCTGATGTAAAGGCCACTTACTGTCGTGTCCAATGCCTAACCCTTAATTTGCTGCTCCGGCCTTTGAAGTGTGTGCATATTTCTGTTTCCTGACACTAGCTTTCCCCTCTTTCTTTCTTTCTCCTCCGCGGCCCCGGCAGTTGATGTTGCAACTGGATAGGCCATGTTTCCATGTGGGGGCTCTTTTTTTTTTCGGGCCTGCCCCGATGATAAAAAACACAAGTGGGGAAAGGGAGGGGGGGGGGGGGGGGTCACAGATCCTCAGAGAGGCCCCAGCCCCGGCCCAGACAACGCTGCAGGGGGATTAGAGCACACCCTGGCAGCGGAATGGTTTCACTTAAGAATTTCAGTAATCACTTTTAGGAGTGTAATATATAGCTGACCTTCGGCGGTGCCACACGACCCCCCGCTCCCCCGGCCATTTGATCAAAGGAAGCGGCGGCGACTGTGCAAACAGGCGCTATCAGTGGACTCCGGCGGATTTACAGCCTGCTTCTTCTCTCTTGTCTCCCCGGAGTCGTGCGCTGATACACGCCGAAGCCCGGTTTCATCTTACAGAACCCCATTTTTTTT